CGCCTCCACTTGTAGCGTTGCTCCCGCCGGGTATTTAGTGCGGGGCGGATCCAATTGGTCTGTGAGGCAGTGGCGACATCATCCGGCCGCCAGCGAGAGGGGAAGCTGGCATGGCTCTGGCCGACCTTGGTCAAACACAAACTCGCTGATCTTAGTCTGACGCCCCGAACCCGCCGGGCTGCTCCCCGTGTGAACGTGGCCCCGGGCGCCGCAGGGTCTGCAGCGATTCAGAGCCCCGGAGGATGGGTGCAGGCACCTGCACGACTCACCCGACCTGGTCGAGAAATCTACCACTCACATCTTGCCTCGGGCTGCTCCAGAACAGAGGAAATCCCGCTTGCTCCCAAGCCAAGATCATGGCTTGTCTGGACACCCCCAGTCTCCCCACCCCGACAGTGCCCAAGCGCTGATCCTTCAACCCTTGCTCCCCTACCTTCATCTAGCTGCCAGGGCTGCTGCAGGTCCCTGCTGGCCAGGCCCCAAACAGCCCCTTGCAGGCTGGGATGCTGCCACCCTGCAACAGGAAACCTGCACTTCTGCATGTTTTTCTGGCATTTGCTCAAGACCCTTTGAAATATTCTTGCAACTCACTTCTGGCTCATAACCCACAAGTTGAGAAACGCTGCATTAGACAATGAGGGAAAGTCTCGAGCTAGGCCTATTCAGTTTAGAAAAGAGATGCTTGAGGGGAGAGTGGTTAGGTTTTACCAAATACTAAATGGCAAAGAGAAAGTAAATAGGACTTTATTGGTTACAATTGCACACAAGATGAGCTCGGGGGTCACAAAATTAGACAAGCTGGTAGTAAGTTAGAAACTAACACAAGGAAGGCCTTTCACAGTGCTTCCTTGAAGTGTGGAGCTTGTGACCACCAGATGTGGAAGCTGGCAGTTTAGCCAGTTTAGAAAAAGGGATTGGACAAATTATTGGACTAAATTAATATTAATAGCTTCTGAGCATGGGCATTAGGGATTCAGCCTCTGAATCAGAACTGCCTAGCCCAGGGGTGGGCAATTATTTCAGCTGGAGGACCGCTTAATGAGTTTGGGTGAGCTGTTGAGAACCAAAAGGGTAGCCCTGTCACCTGGTCACCATCTTGGCAGCAGAAGTCCTGCCTAACCCTTGGCCTAACCCCTAACCCCTGACCTTTGCCACCAGAAGTACTCCTTTTGGGAGTAGGGGGTTTTCCCTCTTGCAACCAGAAAAAAAACTAAATCATATACTAAAAGTCAAACACCTACTATAACGTATTTTAATTTTATTACAAAAAATATTTTTGTCACAATTTGTGTAGTGTATATAGAGGTGATTGCATAATAACTCAAAAATAGTCTTACTCTTGTATATTGTGTGTGGGGGAATGTGTGGGGCGTGGTTGGGAGTGGGTGTGTATGGTGGGAGGGTGTATGTGGGGTGTGTGAAGGTGTGGCTGTGTGTGGGGGACATACGATATGTTGCTGGAGTGTGTGCATGTGGAGGAGTTGTGGGGGTAGGGTATGGGTGTGCGCAGTTTAGGGGTGTAAGGGAGGGTGGTCGGGTGTGGGGAGCCCTCCATGTACTCCCCCTCAGTGCACAGCCCCTGCTGTGGGTGGCAGCAGCAGGTGGCAGGCCCTCATGGAGCCCGCAGGTTGTATTTTGCCTGTCCCTGGCCTAAACCTTATGCTGGAGGCTGCAAGTGAGAAAGGAACAGTGGAAAAAACCCTGGTCACTCAAAGTTCACTCCCACTTTCAGCATCCACACTCTGCCACAGTGTGACACAAGGCACTGACAGAAGTGATGTTTTGTTGCGTGATCAGCCCCCTGACAGCACTCTATGTCCATTGCCTGAAAGAAGTGCACAGTTGCAGAGTGCTTTAAAAGTGCCCAATCGCATGACAAATTAACCTTCGTTACATGAGGGCTCACATGAAGGTGCTTCAAAGTGGAGCACCTTCATTAACTTCCGTCAGCCCCTGCCCCAGAGGGGGGCTGCCCCCAATCAGAGGCGGATTAAGGATTTTTGGGGCCCTGGGCAAGAAGAAAATTGGAGGCCCCCTCCCCCTGCGGGAGCTCTCCAGTTTGGCCCAGCCCTTCCCTGGAGCACTGGACACAGGAATAGACAGGCATGCACACATGCACATGCACACACACACACAAAGATACACACACACGTGCACACACAGAGACGCACCCACAGACACAGACATACACACACATGTGTGCACCTACACACACTGACACATACAGGCAGACCCAGAAACACACAGGCAGACACACACACACAGATACACAGACACAAACACAGACTTGCAGACTGACAGATACACAGGCACATGCACACCCAGGCGCATACTTTCCCCTCACAGGACCTCTTCCCTCCTTCACTCTCAGTCACTCTGAAACTGCACCCTTCCCCCGCCCCATCT